AGATGCGACCTTTGTTGAGCCCATGATTCACAAGTACAAGTGTTGAGAGTACCAGGTCAAATCCAGAACCTGCGCTCTAGACGTAAGCTATAGAAACCTATGCCAGGCACCTCCGATGGCTATGCCTCAACTTATGCTAATTCCCCTAAACACATACATCAACACTTTGATCAGAATTAGAAGCCAGTCGTGCAGAGTGAGGGATTAGAATCTCACGCAAAAACTCAAGCAATCAATCATCTTACAAGTGAAGAGAAAACCTTTAGGGGATGATCCACAGTTAGTTGTGAACAAAACACCTTCTCCAATCGACAATGATGAGAGTATTGATTTTTGAACTATTCAAGAAAGCTGCAGAATCGTGATGTGTAGAGGTTATGACCCAAATTCCTCGATTATTGCCAGTTGTCCTACAACCACAGAATCAAATATAACCGTTAAAGCATAGTCCCTAGTAATAGAAGATTCTATTCAAAAATAGACCAAATCAAATCCGTTTTCAATCAACGCACAAAATTAGAAGGATTAACAAGCTATTACTACAATCACGATGAAGGAAAGTTTTCAAATGTTGTCTACACCAAAACAGGAAAGTTTTCATTTGATTCATCCCTAAAATGGAAACAATCAATCAGCATTCAACTATTATTCAAATCCCAAGTCTATATAAAGAGGAGGATAGACACAAGAGAGACAAGACGGAAACCACAAATTCAAGCAGTCACACCATCCCTAAATTCTCATTCAGAAAACCGAAAACCCAGAGGTCAAAGAGGAACTTATCTTTTTTCTCGCTTCGCCGCCGCACACTTTATCGGAGAATCACGTAAACCATTGGAGTTCCCCGAGTCATCGCCGATCATCTTTCCTTTGAAGCTCGACGAATCCTTCAGCACACCGCCACCGCGAAATCGCCGGGGAGCCTTCATCGTCGCCACCTTGGGTAACCTTGTTCTTCAAAGTTTTATTATTATGATTGCATTCTGGTTTTGTGGTTGTTATTAGGTTCTAAAGAAGAATAAGAGAAAAAGCGAAGGAAATCGGAGAGAATTGGGAGAAGAAGAGGATGAATTGAGAAGAGAGAAGAGCGAAAGGGAAAGAGATGGAGGGTCGATTGGGGGGCTAGGGTTGCCTCGCCGTTTTTTTTTCATTTTTTTCCTCCATTGTAATCCTGTATCAGTGAGTACACCACACACACTACACCACACACATTAACCCGTAATCCACCGTTAATTATCAGTACTAACCTTTTCTCTTTTTTAGTTAAATATTCACTAATAAACCCTTAACCTTTTTTTAATCAACCTAATATAAGCTTAATCCCCAATTTAATTAACTGCCCCCCATTTAATCCTTTTTATTTAAATAAATCAAGTAAACATTTTCTAAATAATTAACTAAATAATCAGTTTTAAATAAAAATAATAATTACTACATTTTTAAAATTAACATAATTAATTTTATTTCTTTATAAAAATCAAATTCATTAAAAGAGTACATCTTCTCACAATTCAAGTAATTTATACAACTTTTATAAATAAAATAACGATAATAACTAATATAACTTTTATAGATCAAATGCAACTTTTCATCCAAAATCAAATCAACTTTTTATTTAAACCGAAACAAGTCAAACAGTTAAAATCAATCAACCGCGTAAACATACAAATCAATCTCACTTCACACGCACCTACACTCAGCGCTTTCATGCGTATATATTATTTATCTTTCTCTGCTTTTACTCACAATGCACACATTCACCTAGCGTTTTCATGCGTATGTGTATGGTTTTATTCTTGCCTTTACTTACCTGCAATTCCTTTATTTACCGCAATCTATATCTATCATCATTGCATCGCATTGCATCCGTCCAAAGGAAAAACCTACACATAATTCAACGTTGTGTGTAGTTGCACATCATATGCATCATATTCCCCTTTGATCCTTGATCCCATTCAAGTCGATCTTCTTAAGATAGATCCTACCCTATAGGAAGGACCTTGTCTTTATTTTTCTACAACATAGAAACAAAACAATCAAAACACAATACAATCTTACAAACACAATAGAGAATAGATGTTAATCATCTTAAGTGAGATATAATCTCCACCCCACAAAACAACACAATCAAACATGTAGGGACTTTGCCTTAAGAGCGATAAAGGCATACTTGGCGACCATCCGAGTATGTAAGACCTTTTCTTAAGACGATGCAAAGACCATTTCCTACAACCTCCTTTACATTTGTGGTGGTTACATCTCCCTCAACATGAAGACTCATCTCTTCTCCTAAACCCAATCAAAACAACTACCCTAAACCCGTAGGAACTTTGACCACAGTCAAAGAACTCCTCTAACCCTTTAGGGTGAACTACAACATACTCTGATTCCACTCTCGTAAGGATATGTAGGCATAAGATGCGACATCTTACCGAGTATACTTAGAAATAAACCCCTAGGTCTTTTATACCTTAAGCAGATAAACCATAGCAGTAAACAAACATAAAACAAGAGGTTCCTGTAGAGTACTACAGAAACTTAGGATGCTAGTACCTTCCCTAAGTTTAACCAACCCCCGAACCTATAACTCTCTAGCTTGCATTTGCATTGCATTGTGGGAATTTCGATCTTTATCCCTTCCTTTGGACAAATCAAAGTTCGGTTGCAAAATGAATTAAAGATTCAAACTAATCAATAGTTTGGTATCCAAATTTCACCGCGACACTCCTTGAAGGCATATTCGTACATAGGGAACATCTCCCTGTATGACGAGCATATGCAGTTGTCCTCTATGGGGAAATGAACCTCCCAATCTCCCTCATCCTCCACCGACGAGAAGGCATCCCCGGTGTAAGAGGCATGCTCCCTAGGCTCTACTACAGACACTTCTCCGCGGTTATCCTTGAAATATGCATTTCGCCAGCGTCCCGGGGCGTGGAAGTATCATCAGTCTCAGTATCCTCCGAGGAGTTCTCCTAAGACAGATCTCTTAGGATTTCTTCTTTAGCTTCGCGCGACATCTCCTTTACCTGAAAAGCAGAGGATAAAAGTGGATTCGATGACAAAGTCAAATATACCCTTCCACCGCTAGTCAAGTGAAAGGGTGCGCGAAGGCCCGAGGACAACGTCCCCGACCTAAGCCCCACTCAAATGGCACAGTTACGATACGAGGAGGCGCCATGGACAATCCTTCTGACACACGCGGGAGAGCTTCCCTGGTACGGAACCCATAATTTCTATTGGAAAACCATCGAAAAACTCATAAGCACACCAAAAATTCACGGTTTCCACCGGTGAAGAACGCTTCTGTGTCGCAAGGGCATCAAAATAAACTAAAAATCCTAAGCTTCTAAAGCTCCAGCGACGCCGGCAACAGAGGAAAGTGGTCAAACCACCGCCTACCACCAACAATAACCGGAAACAACCCCTACGCTACCTAGTTTCGCCTCAACCATATGCATTATAAGAAGCAAAAAGTAAATAAATCTATGACAAGAGATCAGTTCAAGTACTTACGTGGTCGAGGAAGGAAATTTAGAGTCGAAGAGCTCTGGTGGGTGAACGTACGGTGGTCGAACAACGACGAAAGGCGGATTGTAGAAGAAGAAAACAAAAGAAGAAAGAGAAACGAAAAGTGCAAATGAGCAACTTCTCCCTCTATTTATAGACGGTCCATGGGCACGTGCACAGATGCGCACGGCTAGGGGCATCGACATTGACCCCAGCCTAGCCATCACGACGCATTAAATGCGACACATGGCTCGAGGCACGCATGACACTTTACCTCTTTAGATCACATCAACTGTTGGGCTCCCCGTACTTCGAGCTCCCCACCATGCAACATTACAGATCCCTTAGGCACAAATTCCCTGGGGCACTAAGGAACAACCTTGTCCCAGCAACAGGCGACAATCATGTCCGGTCCTCCCTAGGACTACAAACTGCCCTTAAGTCATCACTCCCATGCTCAAGAACAACGACTTGGGGGGCTCCTATTCCGGACTGACCCAACGGCTATGCATGACCCAATTTACTTCTGCTTCTGGAACGACTCAATTGCCTAAGTCCATCCAATTTATGGGAACATTTACCTTTCTGCCCTTCCACCGGGGAAGGTTGACCGGTTGACCTCTAGGCTCAGTTGCCCCTCCTCAGTAGTTCCTGCCTGTCACGCACGATTCTACCATCTAGAAACAGTCATGATGCCTGTGCCCGCTACTGCGCATATGCCCGTAGCAACGACTAGCTTTAGGCACCTCTGCCTGTCCCAACGACTAGTTTCTGGCAGTTACCTATTGTTCAGGGAACGATTATTTCGCCCCGAAAATAGGGACCAATGGCCAAGCGCTGGAGGCACTGTACTCATTTGAGAGGGTTAGATATTCAATATTCATCCTAACACACACATACTTTGTACTTGCTCTCTTTTCTCTCGGTTCTCATTTTAGCATCGGAGTGTCTTGCAGATACACTCCCTTCTCATCTCTCACACTCAGGATCACAAACATTGTCTCTGTCCCACTTCAAGTTCTAATCGGCCAATAAAATCAATAATTATTCAAAAGTTTTTACAAGTAACTTGTTTTTATTTTTTTACATGTATTTCACAAATCAAATGATCGAATTACAATCGAAATAAAGAAATCCAAAATTTTTCTCCCTTTTCAAACCTTAATATCACATCTTACAATTTTCGTTTATCTTTACCAAACTTTTAAATCAATTTTTTTTTTTTTATTTTTATTTCGAACCATAACAAACCTCCAAATATATTCGATAAAATACCGGAACTCAAGGAACTTGTGTAAAAAAACTTGACAATTTATTTCTGTATCGAGAAGAAAACATACAACAAAAGCGAAATCACTGAAACAAATCAAGCGACTTCAAAGTGCAAAAGCGAGTGAAGTGAAGCCCCTCTAACTCTTAAACCCTATATTACACTTTAAACCTCTAGTTTAATTTAGCGAGTTGAACACAAGAGAAACAACATCACATAGATGCAGCGTGTTGTAAGAAAACTAACCAAGCCATTTTCACACAGACAGGTATTCATCGCTTTCTTCACACTCATTTCAATTTTCATTTCTTCAACTGAATAATCATTTTTCTTCTAATTTGTTTAGTTAATTCAACTGTGTGTGTAATCATGTCATTCATTTCAGTTGCTTTGATTAGTTTACTTTTACAAATTTCAATTGCAGATTCTAGGTTTTCGTTCTTATTGCAATGAAAAAGTTGTTATTGATGTTGGACAACCAACCTCCGCATCTCATCCACAGGTACTATTTCAAAATTAAATTAAACTCTGTAATTAAAACAGATAATTACGTATTTGAAGTTAGTATTAATTGGTAAAATTAAATTATGCTCTTTATGTGGCGTTGCAGCTTCTAAACGATGGGGAGATCACGCCAGGGATATCTAGTGAGGAATACATTCTTAGAAGGAAAAAAATGTTGGAACTTCTGCCGGAGAAGAGTTTGGCTATCATTGCTGCTGCCCCAGTAAAGATGATGACAGATGTCGTGCCTTATACGTTTCGGCAAGATGCTGATTACTTGTATATTACAGGCTGCCAACAACCTGGTGGTGTGGCTGTTTTAGGGCATGATATTGGTTTATGCATGTTCATGCCAGAACCCAAGCCTTATGTGAGTTTGATATGATAGAACACTCTTTGTTGTTTCTACTTGTGTATTCTGCAATGCTTATCCATGCCATAAATTCAACTTTTATTATTGTTGTTGTTGTTGTTGTTGTTATTATTATTATTATCTCAGGTGATGGAAATTGTATAATTACATAAAAAATCGCTGTTTTGTTGAAAGAATATCACCTCAAATGTTTTTGGACTGGTTTTTTAATTGACCCTTTAGTTTTTTTTCAGTCCTTAAGAATATGGACTAGGAACTTCTTTTTTTTTGTTGAAAAGATTAATTCCAAAATTCTTTGAACATTTATTTGGCTATCAATCAATATCTTTTCTTTTGAAATCTATTTAATATTTCAATTGTTGTTCTTGTTAGAGTCACTGAGTCAATCATCCATGAATTTGGTCATCGGGTGATTTTTCTTGCCATGTCTTGTAGAGTTATAAGATATGAAGTAACTAATCCTGAAATTAACAAGTGTTTGAAATCATACATTTGTCTAGGATGTGATTTGGCAAGGGCAAATAGCAGGAGTTGATGCAGCATTGGATACATTCAAGGCTGACAAGGCGTATTCAATGAGAAAATTGCGCGAGGTGAATCACAATTATCAAGCATTAACAACTTTTACTTCTGTACTAGTTATCTAGTCATATATTTTGTCGTCTACACTTGAACTATTTTCACCTATAAGCTTGGTGGTGGCTTGCAGTCAAGGTTCTCAGTTTTTCTGTCTAAAATGTGCATTTAAGTTTACTCAGGTCAAACTGCTACTTCTGTTCTTTAAAATATTTTAATTTTAACATTTTTAATTACTGATTCAGATCCTTCCAGATATGATAAGGGGATCCTCAAAATTGTATCACAATGTTCAGACTGCTACAGCAGCATATACGGAACTGGAGGCTTTCAAGAAGCTTGCTTACGGTAACAATGTAAACGATCTGTCTGCTTATACTCATCAGTTACGATGGATAAAATCTCCTTCAGAGCTCAAGCTGATGAAGGAATCTGCATCAATTGCTTGCCAGGTACTTTCAACTCTATTAGATGGCTAATGATGACTAAAAATCTAGAACTCCTAGTGAGGCTGTTACATGCAAATTTGTTTAGGAGGTCATAAATGCAAATGGTAAGATCTGGACGATTAAAACATTTTCTGGTTTTGAATAGGCACTTTTGTTGACAATGCTGCATTCAAAGACCTACCCTGATGAAGGTATTTTAGCTGCAAAGGTTGAATATGAATGCAAAGTGAGAGGTGCCCAGCGTATGGGGTGAGCATTTCTTGATATCGAGTGACTATCCCGTCTTATGCAATTTGTTCACGTCTGACTACTTTGTGTGTATTTTTATTTATAACTTCAAAAGCTTCTACAAGAGTAACAAAGAAGCCCATTAATGTAGAAAACTAATGGGAAAACCACCATTTAAAGTCCCTGAAAGTGTAACACGCTGTCAATCTATTCTTTGACCCAAACGAAAACATAAGTTAATCCTCCACCCTCCATTCCGTTAGTCAATGTAAATAGCTGAAGTGGCAAGTGTGAAGGCAATCAATGTAAATTGCTGAAGTGACAAGTTTGAAGGACAACTGGCTCGCTGATGTGTATGCAGGGACCAAAATGAAAGAAAATCCTTCTTCTTGTTCAACTCTCTCAACATCATTTTCCAACATGTTCATATAAAAAAATTCCAATTTCACAAGAACAGCATCATCATATTCTACTTTTTTTTTATATACCATCATCAAATTTAGCTAAGTTTAATAAGCTAACTTTTAGGATAGTTGAATAAGTGTTATGGGTTATTATAGTTTCTTAATCCTTATTATTCTCAGAGGTAGGTTTTTGTTCAAATTGTAAGATTTATATAAAGCCATCATATTTTCATTAAAATAGAAGTGATCCTACTTGATTAATTTTATTAAAGTTATCATTACTACTTTTTCGTATGCTATCAGAGCTCCATTACAGGATCTAATATAGTAAGTAAACAAAAGTGTTTGAGAGGAAAAATACTAGAGTGAGTGAAAGAAGTAAAATGGCTGAATCAAACAATTTCATCGCACCAAATGTGTCCAAGTTTGATGGAGACTATAATCATTGGAGTTTGATCATGCAGAATCTACTTCGATCAAAGGAGTACTGAAGTGTTACTGAATCTGAAATCAAGTAACCAAATGAGAATGTACAGATAAATGCAGCACAAAAGGCATTGGATGAAAAAAAACTCAAAGATGTAAAAGCAAAGAACTATCTATTTCAGGCCATTAACAAATCCATCTTAAAATCTATTATCCAAAAAGAAACAGCTAAACAACTGGGGGAATTCATGAAAGCCAAGTACAAGGGAAGCACTAGTGTGAAACTGGCGCAGCTGCAGAGGCTTCGATAGACATTCAAAACCTTAGAGATGAAAACAGGTGAATCAGTGAATGATTATTTTGGAAGAGTGATGGAAACAACAAATTACACGAGTAATTGCGGAGAGAATATGAACAATGTGAAAATCGTTGAGAAGACACTTAGATCTCTGACTAGAAAACTTCAACTTTGTTGTATGCTTAATTAAAGAGTCGAAGGACATTGATCTCCTAACTGCGAGCTGCAAAGTTCACTACTTGTTCATGAGCAAAAGGTAAAAGAGAAGTGGAATGAAGAACAAGTTCTGCAAGTTGAGCATGACACACATTATGGATGTGGGAGAAGAAGAATCAATTTTCAAAGAGGAAGTAGCAGCTATGCTAGAGGACAGGGAAGAGCAAAGCCATTTGTAAATAGGAGTGTTATTACATGTTGTCGGTGTCAAAAACAAGGACACTTCCAATTTGAATGTTCAAGTCTAGAAAAAGAAGTAAACTATGCTGAGTTTGACGAGGAAGAGGAGTTACTCCTAATGGCTCATGCCGAAGTTCAAGATATTAAAGACAAAGAGATATGGTTTCTTGATTCTGGTTGCTCAAATCACATGACAGAAAATAAAAAGTAGTTTATAAAACTAGATGAAAGTTTCGGTTGTACTGGTAGATTGGGAAACAACTCAAGAATGTCTGTAATAGGAAAAGGAAGTGTCAAGTTTAAAGTGATCTATGTGGTCCAATCACTCCAATCTCTCATAGTGGTAAGAGATATTTGCTAATGTTTGTAAATGACTACTCTTGCAAAATTTGGATTTATTTTCTTGCAGAAAAAAGTAAAACATTTGAGATATTCAAATGCTTCAAGAATTTGGTTGAGAAAGAAGCTCAGAAACAATATGTTGTTTACAAATAGACAGGGGAGGAGAATTCACCTCAAACAAGTTCAATCAATTCTACATAGAGAATGAAATTAAACGACAATTATTAATTGATTTCACACCACAACAAAATGGGGTAGCCAAACGAAGAAAGCGAACAATTATGAATATGGTGTGCTGCTTACTTACTGAGAAAGAGATGCCAAAAATCTTATGGGCAGAAGTTGCGAAGTGGACAAATCACGTGATTAACAGAAGTCTTACCAAAGCAGTAAAGGAAATAGTACCAGAAGAAAGATGGAGTGGACTGAAACATAGAGTTGACTATTTTAAGATGTTTGGTTTCATTGCACACGTACACATAGAGTTGACTATTTTAAGATGTTTGGTTTCATTGCACACGTACATATACCTGAGCAAAAGAGAATTAAACTTGATCATAGAAGTTGCAAATGTATCTTAATTGGAGTGATTGACGAATCAAAGGTTGCATGATCCAATATTAAAGAAAATCACAAGCAAGGATGTCGTATTTGAAGAAGGGGGGAAAAATGGAATTGGAACGTAAATTCAAAAGAAGCAAAAGAAATTACTATTGATTGGGGTGACGATGGTAATGACATGGAGGATCATGATGAAGAATCAAATATAGAAACAAAGGTGAGTAATGCTGGAAACCATGAGCATACATTACAAAATGAGGAATGACAACATGAAGAGCGACAACATGAGGAATGACCAAGAAGAGAAAGAAGAAAACCTAGTAGGCTGCGAGATTATGAAAGTGGCGAGGGTCTGTCTCAAGAAGAACAAGAGACTGAAATGGTTTTTTATTCATGTCAAATAATGATCCCACAAATTATAAGGAAACTGTGAATGATGTAAAATGGATAGAAGCCATGAAACATGAAATAGATGCCATCGAGAAGAATAAAACATAGGAGTTAGGGAATCTACCAACACAAGCTAAGAAAATTGGAGTCAAATGGATTTACAAAACCAAATTGAATGAAGAAGGCAAAGTTGATAAGTACAAAGCTCGACTTATTGCAAAAGGGTATACACAGACCGAAGGGGTAGACTATAATGAAATATATGCTTCCCTTGCACGATGGGACACAATTCAAATTTTGTTGGCTGTGGCAGCACAAAAAGGATGGAATGTGTACCAGTTGGATGTGAAAAGTGCCTTCTTATACGAAGAATTGAAGGAAGAGATATATGTGGTTCAACTTGAGGGCTTCATTAAACACGGAGAGCCAAAAAAGGTATATAGGCTGAACAAAGCCTTATACGGCCTAAAGCAGGCGTCAAGAACAGGGGTTAGCCGAATCGATAGTTACTTCCAGCGAGAAAGATTTACAATGAGTAAACAGGACCATACTTTATTCATTAAGAGAAGAGAAGATAAAATAATCATGGTAAGTATTTATGTTGATGACTTGATATATACCGGAAATAATGAAGAATTGTGTGCAATATTTAAGCAATCCATGATGGAAGAATTTGAGATGACGGACCTTGATAAAATGAGGTTCTTCCTTGGAGTTGAAGTAAGTCAAAATGAAAATGGAATTCACTTATGCCAAAAGAAATATGCAAGAGAAGTTTTGGAAAGATTCAATATGTGGAATTGTAGTTCTGTCAAAAATCCAATAGTTCCTGGAATTGTGTTGTCAAGAGAAGGTGGAGAAGATGACGATTCAACTTTGTACAAGGAATTGGTAGGTAGTCTAATGTATCTTACAACTACATGTCTAGATATGATGTACGTAGCGTGTTTGATTTCACGTTACATGGCTAATCCAAAGGAGGAACACATGCAGATTGCTAAAAAATGTTGAGGTATTTAAGAGGTACTTTAGATTGTGGCTTGTTTTATAGAAGAAGGACTGCCTCACAAAGCTTTTGGAATATCATGAGAGTTATTATGCAAGAGATGTAGGAAACATAAAGAGTACTTCATGGTATGTTTTTCCACTAAGCGAGACAACAGGTTGTTGGAGTTCGAAGAAGCAAGTCATCATTACCTTATCCTCTACTAAAGCTGAAAATGTGGCAGCAACCTCATGTGCTTGCCACTGTGTTTGGATGAAGGATGTTCTTGAACAAATTGGAGATGTAAATTACAAATGTATTGATATTTTTTGTGACAATAGTTTATCATTCAAGTTCTCTAAAAATCCCGTGATGCATCGAAGCACTAAACACATTGATGTCAAATATCGTTATTTATGTGATCTTTTAAATCAGGGAGTGGTAAAGTTGGTTTTCTGTAAAACACAAGATCAGATTGCAGACATTATGACAAAGCCATTGAAATTGGATGAGTTTGTGAAACTTAGGAGGCTACTGGGTATACAACCACTTGAAAATTAAATTGTATGCTCAATGAGCATTTCAGTTTAAGGGGAGGAATTTGTTAGTATATTTACTAAGACTTAGTCTTTGTTATAAATAAAAATGTTAATTTAGCTAAGTTTAATAAGCTAACTTTTAGGAAAGTAGAATAAATATTATGGGTTATTGTAGTTTGTTAATCCTTATTATTCTGAGGTTTCTATTCAATTGTAAGACTTATATAAAGCCATCATATTTTTATTTTGTAAAAACAAGAAGTAATCCCACTTGATTAATATTAATAATGTTAAAGTTTTCATTACTACCTCTTCAACAACATTTCCAATTTCATGAGGTACTGATCCAACAGTTGTTGTTGAGTACAAGATCAGCAAGCTTCTGTAATTTGTCTATGCTTGATGGAATTTGACCTTCAAAGCTATTGCTGAAAAGATCCAAATGTTGTATTGGTTAAGTAGCTTAGCTCCAAGGGAAATTTTCCAGAGAAAATTTTTCTAGCCAAAAAAGTTGTGTAAGCATTGAACCTTTGAAACAGAAACTTCTGGAATTCCACCTTGGAAAGCATTATTAGAAAAACTAGAGTTTTGAGGCTCTTCAGTTTGATCCATAAAAGTTGTTTCTAGACAAGTCTAACTTTTGCAATTGGATCAACCTATTAAGCTCACACGGGATTTCACCATTTAGTTTGTTTCCTGGCAAATTCAGGTATGTCAAGTTAGAAAGATAACTCAACGATATGGGAATTAGTCTATATAGTGTCATTTGCAAGATTATATTTTCAATGCTTTAAGGGACCCTATAGATGAGGGAATTCTCTTCAATATTGTTGTTTGATGCTGCAATATTATGAAGCTTTTCACATCCTTGTATCTCTTTTGGTATAAAGCTTTTAAGACTATAAATCAACGGAAATTGGATTCTTCAATTTACCAGCTCCAATTGGTATGTTTCCATTTAAGTGGAAGTAACCTAAACCTAACACTGTCAACTCACTCAAGTTGATGATGCTAGGTGGAATGCTGTCTGACAGCATGTTGTCTCCTATTCTAATAACTTGCAACTTCTTCAAGTTACCAATCTCTTTAGGAATGATACCGAATAGATAATTTGAGTATAGCTGGAGTGTTTTAGATTTTGAAGCTTTCCAATCTCTGAAGGTATGAAACCATTTAGTGAATTTGAAGACAAAAAAGTGTTTGAAGAGAAATCAGATGACTTAACTCAAAAGGAACCTGATATACCTAAAGATTCAAGCCCACAACATGTTTCTGATTAACATCCCATGGAAGGACCATATCAAATTTTGATGATGATATATACAAAAAAGAGTGGAGTGAGAAAGTTTAGGAGAAGGAACATAATAGGAAATGACGTTGAGAGAGTTGAAGAAGTATTTTCTCTCATTTTGATCCCTGCAGACACACTCGCAAGTCAGTTGTCCTTCACACTTGCCATATCAGCAATTTTCAATGACTAATGTTTCAATTTAACGTCACAGACAAAAATGACTAGTGGACTGCAGAGTGTAGGATTAGTTTGTGTTTTTGGTTTGAGTCAGGGACTGCATTATCAAAGTGTTACACTATTAGGGACCAAAATGGTGGTTTACCCAAAACTAAATGTAAGGTTAAGCATCACCTGTGTTCACATTTAATGAGAATATTTTTGCTCTTCTTTTTCTCATTGTATCAGTTTTAATCCTGTGGTTGGTGGCGGGCCTAATGGAAGTGTTATACATTACTCTAGGAATGATCAAAAGGTAAATTTCATTTACTTATTGCCATCTCATAGTATGCGTGATTTTATGTATTTTATCTTTGCCATGTTTGTCAGATTAAAGATGGAGATCTTGTTTTGATGGATGTTGGATGTGAGTTACATGGCTATGACAGTGATCTCACACGTACCTGGCCACCTTGTGGTACCTTCTCTTCTGCACAGGTTAGCATTGTTTGGTTCCATTTGCTTTAAGAAAATATTTGTTTTCGCTTTTATTTCAAATTTGATACCTTGTTTTTCAATATATTCAATCTTTTTAACGATTTGTACAGAAACCACTAAAAAGCATCTGTTTTTATTTTCTGTTTCCTTGATATCCAATTTCCCTATCGTTTAATAGCGATCCAAGACAAGCAGACTGCGTAGTCATAGTTTTCCATTGCAGTCCTATTCCATTTGCATGTGTTTTCATTTATGGATATGCATCCACTCTCATATGTATTGCACTGGATTAGGTTCTGTGATGTTGACCCATTTTTAGTTTAATTCCACTTTTGATTCTAGTAATATGATTTCTTAAACATCCTAGTTGTTTCTTCGTTGTTATAACCTGAAGGCTTGCCAATTTATGTAGAGTTCCCTGACAACAGGCAGATGGTGACATGCTAAAAAGTGTCATTATAGCCCAAATGAGTATTTTGGGACTTACCAATTGTTTGAATGGGTGAAACATACTCTAAATAATTTGTTCATGCATGGACGTTCAATTTGTGATAAATTATCCACCTTCTCATGGCCCCTTTCTTTAGGGGATCTGATGTGCCTAAAGCTTGCACATGCCCAACATAGGGCGTGCTATTATCTCATGTCGGTATAATCTTTCTTTGTTTCTGCTATGCATGACATAAATGTTTGAAACTTGGTTTCTGCTCCATATTCATGCCAATGGAGTCTGGTATAAAATAAAACTGCTAATTCCACTTGTTGTGTTGTTCTTTTAGTCTCATCACTTTTCATATGAATTTCACGGTTTCTCTATATTTCAGGAAGAGCTTTATGAGCTTATACTGGAAACAAACAAGCATTGTGTGGAACTTTGTAAGCCTGGTGCTAGTATTCGACAAATACACAACCGTTCGGTATCTTCTTTTTCTTATCATTTTTCAATTTTATAATAAAGTCATTGTCCTTCATGAGACTTGGTCTAATAGCTTAAACTTTTAGGAGTGGGTGATTGACATGGTATTTTGGAGTTTCTTTGATTAAGCGTGTGTTTTCTTCTGCATTTGGAAAACCCATACTCAAGATTAATGACCAAATTCTGTCTTGAATGTTATGCCTAATATGTGGGGCAATTTCAAGTCTAGTTCAACTATGAATTCAAAACTTGATTTAAACCCCTACACATAATGCTTTTGCTGTTGACAAAATCTTTGTGTGTATTGACAAAAATGTCTTTGAACTCAACGTTGTATGACTATTTTAATAAAATTAAACAATAATTAAAAATCAGCATCTACAATAAGTTTATATACTATTGTTCAAACATCTATTGTGCCAAAAATTACTTTGCAAATTAATATTCACAACTATTAATAAATTTACTTGAATTCGATTTTAACCAAAATCAATTTTGCTAAATAGTTTTTCTAAAATTCAACTTTCAAACTTCAATCCAAACATGCTATAAGTTGTTAGGAGTTTTAATCCTTGTTGTTCTCATACATATTCAAGAATTAGAGTTTGGGTCTAACTCATTCCTACAAAACCGGTTTGTAAGGTGAGGATTATCCCACTTAATGTATGTTCAGGCCACATATTGTCCGCTGTGAGACTCTTAACGCACCCCCTCACGCTCAACACTATTGAGCTTGATGCTTGGATAAGTGGGCCGATAACGGAAACCTGATAGCAGGTGGCAAAATGAATTTTAAACTTGACTCTAATACCTTCTTAGAATTTGGGTTGGATCTAACTCATCCTTACAAAGCCGGCTTGTAAGGCGAGAATTGCCTCTACTTTTTAACTCATGTTGAGGCTACATATTGTCCAATGTGAAACTCTTAACACATGTGTTGTATTCATATGCGGGGGCAATTCCATTTTAGAATTGTGGTTTAGGCCTAACTCATCCCTACAAAACCGACTTGTAAGTTGAGGGTTTTCCAAGCTTTATAAACACTACAAATGGCATATTTCTAAACAATGTGAGACTAAATCCGCCCTTCAAACCCAACACAATAGGTGTTGGAGGCTGCAACGAAGGCAAGGCAAATGCCGCAATTAGGCGACTAGGGGCGGACCGCAATGAAGGCGGAATTTCCAACACAAATAAAAATTGGATTTTAATGTAAGGTAGGGTATGCTTGCCATTCACATTTTTCAACATGAGGGGTTGTGTTAGAGACTATGAAGCCCGTACATCTTTAGGAGTAGGTGTGTCGCAGTGTCCGACACTTGTACGACAAGTGTTGAAAAAGTCAGACAAGTGTCCCATAAAAAGTGTTTTTTTTTCTTTGATTTGACACTCTTTGAATCGGTGTCAAACACTCGTAAGACACTCATACAACACGTGTCAGATCATTTAGAGAAGTGTTTCATAAAATAATGTTTTTTTTCTTCTTTACTTCAACACACCTTATACTTTTCTTGAACAAATCTCACACTTATCTAAAATGGTTAAACATATGTTGAAGCAATGTTATCAAGGAAGAACTAAAGACACTAATTTTGTCAAGATTTTTGGTGTTAGTGAATCAAGTCAATATTATTCCTAGATTTTACAATTAGCTTTTTTGATGTGCAATTCCTTTTTCCGTGTTTTGCATCAATCCCTCATTCCCCAAAAAAAGGAAACTTTCAATATTTGCTTTGTCTGCATGATGAACACTATCTCATAATAAGTCACAACCAGTAGAGTGTGCCAGTGGCCCGAGTATCTTGATATACCCTTCCGTGTTAGTGTCGTCTTACTAGCAGCTTGAAGCTTATTTTGCTATAACACTGAAACATGTGAAATTTTCTGGTTGCATAGGTTGAAATGCTGCAGAAAGGTCTAAAGGAGTTTGGAATTTTGAAAGGTTTTGGAAGCAGTTCCTACCATACGCTGAACCCAACTTCTATAGGTAGTTCGTTCATCCATGTTTTAGTTGGCAAGGCTTGCAGATTTCTTTCATATTTTTTTTGGTTATAGATATTCATAACCAGTTTGTCATTTGAAATAAAAATATGATGATAGCTAATAGAGAACAAATATATCTATTCAGTCATGTATTATTGATCCAGGTCACTATCTCGGAATGGACATTCACGATTGTTCAATGATCAACTTTGACCGTCCTCTGAAGCCAGGTGTTGTAAGTGTTTTCTTTTACCGAGCAACAGTTTAATGATTTGGGTGTGAGGATTTTCATTACCATAAAATTATTATATGGTAATGATATTTTATTATAAATGGTTATGGTCAATTGTGTGACATCATAGTGTTATTTTAAATAAAACACATTTTTCGGTGTTTCTAAACACTGGTTTCACCTAAGGTACTTGAAATTTATGTCTACTCTAGTGGTGGATTGTTGTGGATGAGCACTGCCACCAATTTTTACTTCTCTTTCAATAAGACAACTTAGTTGGAATTTTTTTACCCCCACTTGCCATTCATGTTCTTCCACTTCATATGGACGTAATGTATACCCATATTAACCAAAGATATGTTCTTTTTATAATTTGTGAGCAGGTAATAACTATTGAACCGGGAGTGTACATCCCATCTTCTTTTGATTGCCCAGAGAGGTACTTAATGAAGTTGGTTGAAGAACTTGTTTTAACAAATTTATTATTACAAATTGATAATTTCATTTGCTTATTCCTACTCTACGTTTTCCTGGGTTACCAACTACTTCTACAATACATTCAAATTCATGAATTTCCTTTCATTAACCAGCTTCAGGAATTTTATATTTCATTTTTCCTAGAATCTGACTGTGTTCACTAGTATGTTAAAACCTGAGTTGGATAAACCTGATTGTTTCTTATTTTCAAGAATATTTAGAACTGATTTCCCAGCTTATTCCTTATTTTCTCAGTTCTGTAAGTTCTTGTTTGATTCAATTAAATAGGTTGAAAGGAATGAAAATGAGTTAAGAGTTTAGTTGAATATTCTCTATTTATTAGCATTGATATAGTTTCCTTATTTTCTATTTTCAACCCAAATTCTAAGATGGTATCAAAGTATTCAACGAGTTTGGTAAGAATTTTGGAAGGATGTTAATCATTTCCAAGGGGGAGTCTTATTCTATCATAAGAGGGAACAACCAGTCCCTCTAAAACTGGATGGAATTGTACTCTGTTCTTTGTTATAAGCACCTTTGGGTAATTTGAGACATATTAAGAAAATTAGGCAGTGATTAAATTTGTCCAGTTTGTATACTGATGTTCTAAAATTGCCCTTTAGTCAAGTTTAGTTGAACAATGACACCAAAAGATAGTAGTAAATTAATTAGAAGTGCTTTTTATAAAATAATAATTAATGCATCTAATAATTTGGAAATGAGCTTATTATTAGGGATTTTCTTTTCTTTTCTAATAGACTTTATATTTAAGGGCTTAGGTAAGTATTTTTTCCACCCATTACATTTTTACCCTGCATATTTTCTAAAAATGGTAAAAATATCATGTCCTACTCCTACCAGTGCCCGCATCATCATGGCCCTACCACTTTTATCATATCCATTAAACCAGCTCCATCTCCAGGAGTTGGTTTGTCATAAAAATCATATTATTCTACTCCTGTTTTCTTTGATGGACCATATAAAGGGGTATAATGGAATAGTCATTTAAATAAAATATTAAACATGCTTATGAAAATAACTCTTCTATTCCATTCTCATTCGCATTCTTATTAAAATCATTCCATTGATTTGAACCTGCTGGAATATGAAGTTCTACAACAGTATTTCTCATAAGTTAATTAATCCATCAAGAGATGTGTATGCAGTTTTGAATCTCGAATTTTAATTTTACTTGGGAGTTAATAATGTTATTTTTAAGTTAATTGGTTTCAGTTGCAGAACAAGTTGTAACATAATATGAAGTTTATTTTGCCTCATCTGTATACTACTGCTTGTTTTGCCTCATCTGTATTCTACTGCTTGTTTTGCCTTTTTAGTCATTCACTTTCCTCAACTTCCGTTACAACATTGATTGATCCCATTCTTTCTCATATCATTTGGTAACCATCATGTGAGCATTTAAGTTGATCTTCAATGTTGGCATTAAATGTTTCAGTTTTGTATGTGATGTCCAATGCAGGTACAGAGGCATTGGGATAAGGATTGAGGATGAGATTCTCATTACAGAAACAGGTTACGAGGTAGTAATTTCTTTCTCTTAAAGTATTGCAATTGAAACTACTAGTATAGTTTTTTTTTGTGACAGATAGAGACGTGCTCTTTACACTTGTTTTAAAGCTTGAACAATGAACCATGAACTATTACATTCAAACATTCGTAATTTTTATAGGGTCCCATCTATTTAATAGTAATAAAGAAAGACAGAGACAAAAAAGTCCAATGAACTGTTACATTCAAAATTTTAATGTAGAGTGGGTTATTCAGAACTTGCTCATGAAACTTTTCCTCGCTGTAAAAGAAGAGAACAACTCTTCACTCATCATCAGCTACACTTTATGGTTTCATCTAGATTTTAGCTTTAAACCTATTAAGCACGAGTCCTTCATTTCAAAATTAGAAATTATTCATTGGAAACAACAACTTTTTAAGTCACCAATTCAAATGGAAAGTGCCATTACTTTTTATTCTTCTGCCTCAACTACCTTTAAAACAGTAACAGTGGAAGCAAATTATACAGTGACTTTTTTCTTTGTGTGTGGACAAAATTTGGGTCAAGTTTCTTAGGTTCTTGCAGTGATGATAATTTCAGAAAAGAGGATGAAGTGGCCAAAAAATTTATACCTATATTAATGTACTTTGATTCAAAGCAATGCTTCAATCACCTACAGTACCTAACCTAAGTTTTATGACACACATGTGGGGCACTCTTAAAGTTATTGACTAACATTACACAACACAGGTTTTAACAGCATCAATTCCTAAAGAAGTGAAGCAAATTGAGTCCTTGCTGAACAACTTCAGTCATATCCAAAGTAACTTGAGAGCTACATTCAACTAATGCTGCCCATATGCATTAAAGAACCGGGACAGTGAATATGTGCAATTGCATTGTCAAAACTGTAGGTAAATTATTTCCATCCCTTATTTTTTGCCCCCTCCATTTTCACTTTTAACTCGGCAAATCTTGGTGGGGAGGGGTGACAAGAGAATAAGAGAGAAGGTGGGGTAGGGTTTGTGGACTGATAGAGCAGTAGGTTTCTTGTACCCGATTGTTGCATTTCTTGTACCAGATTGTTGCATATTTTCTGTCTGGTTTTGTTGTTGTAAATGATTAATGATACTATTATTAAATGGCCATCTCAGTATAAAATTATCACATCAGTTGGAAATTGATGTCATAAATTCTCATACATTTTGCTTAGCTTATAAGCAAATCACAAGAAGAAAATAAAAGCGAACCCATCATTTTATTATTGATCTTGTCTGTATAGACATTGTGCATATTTATTTATGTATTTTTGGTAAAATTACTTTTGTGATTTTTAAGTTTGACGTATTTTCCAAATTACGTTTTAATTTTAAGAATTGGTTTTTTATGTTATTGCTTGTATTGCAAGTCTTTTTAACTAGTTCAGTTAAAAAACTGTACTGAATAATTTCAGTAAATGAAGGCTAGGTTTTATGTCACCCCTACCCAACCTTACCCCTACAATTGTATTTGATACCCTATAATTTCATAATTCCATAACTCTCTTTGACAAAAATTTGAAACATTTGTGTACACAATTTTTGATAGACAATTCAGAATTTCGATACAATCTAAATTTTTGGTAGTATATTCGGGAATTTCTAGAATTTCCGTGAGTTTGCAAAATAATCGGAAATATTAAAAGTACCATGTTAAATTGGAAATTTCAAACAAAGTGGAATTTCTGGTAGTTTAATTTATTCAAAATTTTAAACTGTCAAGATTTTGTCGACTGTTTTGGACGACTGTATTGTATCGACTGTTTTTTGTAGTCCAGAATAAATGTAAACTTGTATAAATAGGAGTCTCTTGTTGTTTGAGAAAAACATCTCAAAATGTCTCTTTCAATTTTTGATTAAGGCAAAAGTGTACTTCAACGGAGCTTCACCTCCCGTAGAGTTCTGCCTTTCGGATGACACTACATCACTCGTTACCACATCTCTCGTCGCTTTGACATCTAAGTTGAATGAATTATTGTCTGATACTGATAACAGAAAGGTGAGAGAGATTGAGTTTTGTGAAGATTGAATTGATACTAATGGAAGAGTGAAATACAATCATATTGAGTTGAAGACCGATGAAAATGTGACGATTATGTGGAGATCATTTCGCCATAGGTTAACAAAGGGGTCGATTGAGTTAAATGCGAAGATTTCAAGATCTGCCGACGACATAATTAAGATGATTAAACATCCAAAATTATTTTGTAGTGTTTAGATTTTCTTATTTATTATCGTTTTCTTAAGTTATGTTTAAGTTATGCAATCCATTGTCAAATGTTAACTTATGTTCATCTTGCATCAGGAAGATTAAACACATTATCTAATAAGTTTTTTTGATGAAGTTGTCTGACTAATATTACATGTAATATACAAATAATATATAAATAATACATAAAGATAACAATAATGTCTAAATAAATCCCTCACGGACTATATGTGCAATCCGAGATAATTAAGTAAAAACCTCACCATCCAGGTTTACTAAATCCATGAGATTATCCATAATAACTGCAATCATCTAGAGACGCTGTTAGTCATTGACATCGGCTAGTGGTGGCGGATGCGGCGGAACACCATCAATATGTTCAACAAGTGGAATGATGCAAGAGTGTGATATAGTGAGGTACCGCTCCAAATAATCATCCTTACACTGCGAGTCGTGCTGAACTCTCACTGCACGATCTCTAATGGCACAACCAAAGTTGATGATGTTACTTTGAAATCACATGTCAATACCCGCAGATGGAATATTCAGAATTGGTCATGGGATGTTCTGGACATAACCGTACTATCGCAGACACCTCTTAGACAAGTGCCTAGCAACTAAAGTCTCCCACCGCATATAACCAGAATATAAAGACAAATGCTTAGCAACTAAAGTCTCCCACCGCATATAACCAGAATATAAAGAAGAGTAATCAAACTCACGATGGATTCTAAGATCAGTGTATGATGTCCAGATGACATAATATACGGTCAACACATCTCGCCTCCTCCTGTACTCCGCAACACCACTGGGATGTGCTTTCCTAACCTTCCATCTCCTCGCCCGTCGGGCCCCATAGGAGAATGTTGCACCTTCCTGTCACAGATGGAGGAAAATGCTCGCATATCTAACACTAATATCAAAACACAGACACAACAAATAATAATTAAGAAATGTTATTCGTAACAGTTAAATAAGAATTAAACAACAAATAATAATTTCAAGTATACTTGTAATAGACTCAAATAACCAACAAGCTGTCTGGTCTCAAAGACTGTTACAACTCCAAGTGCTAAATATAGGATGGTTAAGGCAACACACCCCAAGCTCAACTGATATCATCAAAGTTACTGAACAACCACATATACCTGCATCGATATAAACACCTAACTTGTCCATAAAAAGAGTACATGCTACTAGATGTAACATGTACACCCTAGCGGCAACCTCATACATTTGTGCCGCAACAAGCTTCTTGTACCTATCCCAAAGCTAAGACATATTGTTGCACCCTAATTTTTGACCTTAAGATTCCACCTCCTGGATTTTTGTATTATTTGCATATTATCTTCCATTTGTGTGTGCGACTAACGAGGGTATGCAGGTATTTGGACTACAAATATATGTTCTTTCCAATCAAGCTTTCCCAACTCAAAGATCCTAAAATTCCTTAAGTTCCCGCGAAGAAGACTAAGAGATTCCCTTCATTTTTGGTGATAAGTTTGATCATGTGAGATTTAGTTGAAAACTTCGTCTGGTCGAGATGGTTCACGTTGATTAAAGCATCCCCTCCCAAAGCACGTTACTTTTATTTTGAATTGGAAGACGGAGATGTACAATTCTATGCCTGAATTAGCTTTTCCAACCGTAAAGAGAAGTCGGAATTTTACTGTTAAAACCTATGTTATGTGTTGTTAGAGGTGGACAAAGAGGATTACAAATTTAGGAAGTCAAGCGGGAGATTTGTTTGTTTATATAAATAAGCTTTAAATTACAAAACTTTTGCAAAGGCACCGTGCTTGAACCTCAAGGATTTGAGAAAGAGTTTCAGTATTCGAGATCTTCCTGTTTTGGTCATCAAGCCATCTTTTAGAGATACATATTAAGATCAATCAGTTTTCAGAGATGTGATTCAGTGCGCGCATAGGTTTTCGTATCTAATATACTCAACAGTAGGTTCACAATTCATTACCAACTCAAAAGCTTCTATAACTATACAAATTTGTACAAAGAGAGCATGATAAAATTCAACCTTAGCGCTAAAACTCATCAAAACCAAACAATTGGAACCACTTCTGTATTGCAAAGTGAAGCCAAGGTTTACATCGGGGTGAGGGACTCCTCAGAGGGTTACAAGACAAAGTTAACGTTTACAACGCATAACTAGGAGTCTTAAAGACAGATTAACAACTTAAAGGAGGGAGAGGTAAACTATCAATGTCGTCGACACTTTCGAAGTCTCTAACATCGTTGAATTGTTGTCTCGAGCCGTAGCCTCAGAGTCAAGGTAGAAGGTGGTATGCCACTGAACTGCGCCGGCATATTGTTTGCATAAAGGAACCTACACGTTCAGAAACACCCTTGGACTGTTTGAGGAACATGATAACATCGTGATTTGTTTGCCAGCATGTTTGTTGTGCTACTCTGCTGGAGGGTAAACATTCATTTGTCTTGCAGCTTTAGGCGCAACCTGTTAGTCTGCCAAACGGATTTGGTTTACTCCTCAGGATAGGCCAGTAATTCAGCAACTTTCGAGATCCTTTCTCCAAGTGGCCACCTGCATCATCCTTGTGGTTTCTTCAGACGAAGAGACAATCACAACCGCCTTTCCGAATCCACACGCAAGCCTCGTCAACAACACTCCGCATCTTTGGGTGGCATCTCAGCTTTATTTCGACCTGCATTCATAAAGGGAGAAGATTGCGACAATGAGCACAAGAAATTAGAATGCATTATATTCGTCCCAAAACCGACATATGACAGAAACTCACCGTTCTTATCCAACTGCTGCAATTAATCATCAAAACGAAATCAGTGCCGAAGCAAATAAGCACCTGGAGCATATAATTGCCAAACCTAAATCAACCGCATCCATACGAAAGAGCCCTGCTCGAACCTCCACAGCTTTTGTTGAATTCTACATGTCAAATTGAACAGATAAGTGAGGGAATTGGCAAGGAGAATCATTACAAGAAATTGCGAGTCATGAAAACAAATTACCAGAGCAACCACGCCAACGGGATTAAAACAACGCATCAGTGGCAGCAACCAATTTTCCAAACGCCAACTTCGAATGGCGCGGCACAATTTGAAATAACAACCTGTCAAGCAAGCATGATAGAGGTTCATAACAGATAACAAAAATCCATAGGAATTGTGGAATACGAAGGACTCTATACCTTGTCAGCTTTGCCGTAAAAAAGTATGTATCTTATGGAAGCTTCAAAGTCAGCAACCCTGCACTTCCAAAACGAGCGTATTAAAGCCAACTCCACCTACAGATACAATAAGACAATGAGGTTACCAGCTCAGTGCGATACTTGCTACCAAACAAAGAGGCAAAGAGATCACAACCTATCGGACAACCACTGACAAAGTATAACAAGAAGAACACGGAGTTAACCATCACCTTCAATTCAAACAGGAGCAATCATCACAAAAAGAACAATAGCTGATTGAACCTTCAGGCAACAACCGCCAATCAGAAAATTAAAGCATTACCAAACCAATGGCCGAGGAATTCCCGCAGTACCTAGCATACTATTATATCGCAGCTTTGGGCAACTGGATTTCACCCTTTCCAAGTCCTGCAAGCATCCGGC